AGGCCGGCCTGGGCTATACAGTGAGTTCAGAAAACAAAACTAAACAATCAACCCTTTACCAGGTGAGGACAGAGGAATTGGAGCCAACATCTACTTCCTCCTGCTCCTGGGCTTGGATGTGGCCCTGGGTAAGGTCCTCTGGGAAAGGAGCTCGCAGAAATGAGCCGATTCTCAGAGCTACTCCTCTCCCAACCCAACCCATCCCAGCTTTGGGAGGTGGGGGTGCAAGTTCTAAACCAAGCAAAGCCTTTTCCTTGTCTGAGGAGGGAATAGAGAACATTCCAAAACCAGCATAGTGGTGCACCTTTGTAATCCCAGCACTTGGGAGGCTGAGGCAGGAGGATTGCCACAAATTAAAGGCCATCCTGGACTGCGTAGCAAGACTCTGTCTCAAAAAAGTGCCCCCCCCCAAACTGAGACAGGCTCTCACTATATGTAGCCCAGGCTGGCCTCGAGCTCATGGCAGTTCTCCTGCCTCAGCCTTCCATATACTGGGATCATAGGCGTGAGCCACCATCCCTGGCAAAAAAAAAAAACAAAAAACAAAAAAAAACACTTAAGTTTTTCCAAGTTTTTTTTTTTTTTTTTTTTTTTTTTTTTATGAGACAGGGTCTCACTGTGTAGTTCTGGCTGGACTTGAACCCAGGCTGGCTTCTAACTCACAGTGACCCTCCTCTCTCAGCCTCCTGGGTGCTGGGATTAAAGTGTGTGCCACCGCACTTGGCAAGGTTGAATTTGTGTCAGTGGGCACAGTGGCAAATACCTTTAATCCCAACTGCTTGGGAGGTTATGGCAGTAGGGTCACTAGAACCCATGAGTTTGAGACCTCCCTGGGTAACAGTGAGGCCTCTTAGCAAAAAGAATGGAATGTGAGCTGGGCATAGTGGCGCATGCCTGTAATCCCAGCGCTCAGGAGGCTGAGGCAGGAGAATCGCTGTGAGTTTGAGACCAGCCTGGGCTACATAGTGAGTTTCAGGTCAGTCTCAATTACATAGTGAGACCCTGTCTAAAAAAAAAAAAAAAAAAATTACAAGGAATGTTCATTTGGCTGGGCACAGCAGTGCATGGCAGCTGGTAGAGTATTTAGGGTTTGCCTGTGGAGATGTTTCCAGAGATGAGCCCCGGCACCAGGGGAGTGAGAAGGGCACTCTGCCTTCGCCAGTGTGGCTAGTACCCTTCAAGGGTGAGTCTGTTCTGCTGCCAGCCTGTGCACATGGCCTCCCGCCTTGGGCTCCACACTCCCGGCTCCCAGGCCCCTGGGCTCAGGCGGGACCCCACCCCCAGGGCCCGGGCTCTTGAGAACGCAGCTCATCAGGGCCTGACTCCCCATGTTTTCTGTCCCGCCCGTGTCTCCCCTGCCCTGCCTCCCTGTGGCACTCTGACCCCAGAGGGCTGGGAGGTGGCAGCCCCACCTGCCCTCCCCAGACGGGCAACGAGGGCCACGTGAGCCACCCAGTCACGTGCCCTGCGCCCGGGCAGCCAGTCCAGCCCTGACCCGACTCGGGCTTCCTCTGAGAACCAGCTGTGTGGCCACCCCACCGCCCCTCCATTCATCGGAACACAGCTCCTCCCCTTCGTGGGAAAGTTAGGGCCCCATGTCCTTCAGCTCCTCAACTTTCTGCCTCCTACAGCCCCTGGGGAGCGCTGAGCTTGGCGTGGCTGCAGCTGTGCTGCGGTCACGGAGACCTGTCCCTCTGCCGGGGTCTCCTCTCCCTGACCGGCGGATGCTCACAGGCCAGAGGACCAGGGCTGCCCGGTACCGCCCTGGGTCCCCTCAGGGGTCTGGCCAGCCGTGGGGCTGCGGAGATGGGCTCTTGTGAGGGCCTCTGTGAGCAGGAAAACCAATTTCTCCATCTGGGAAGGGATTCCCCTGCCAGTGTGGCACCCCTGGCCTGGTTGGAAGTTGGGGGTCCATCTTAGGAAGACCATAGTCACGTGGGGGTAGGAGGAGAGGGCGCACCTCAGGAGGACTGGTGTCTCCCTTGCCGGCAGCCCTGGGTGGGAAACTGGAAGGAAGCTGGGGCTCCATGGTTCCGAACCCAGGGCAGGCAGCACCTCCTGGATTAGGACTGAAGGGAGGATAAGGACAGACTGGCTGGTTTTGAGGGTGATGTCGTCTAAGAGAAAGGGCGGATAAACAGGCCGTTAGAGGACAGACAGGGCCAAAAAAGGCGCACCCTCACCCTTGTACTGAGCCCTCGTTTTTCATTGTTTTCTTTTGAGACAGGATCTTACCAAGTCCCTGAATTGCCCAGACTGGCCTCAAAGTTATAATCCTCCTTCCTCAGCCTCCCAGAGGGTGGGGATTACAGGCCAAACCACTACACCCGACAAGGAGACCATCTTGTATTCTCACTGGGCAGAGTGGCTGAGAGAGTGGTGCCCCACATCCTGGGAGCAGACTGGGAGGCCAGCAGAAAAGGCCCACGTGTTAGTAACCGGGACATTCACAAGAGGGTAGAGTGGGAGTGGCTTCCTGTCTCTCACCTGGGGCCTGCAGTGGGCTCCAGGAAAGCTGGGGCTCAGAGAAGCCAGAATCTGAGGTAGGAAGGTACTTGCCAAACCGTCTGCCCTCGTACCCATTTCACAGATAGGGAAGCGAGACTTGGTAGGGAAAGGACTTAGGTCCCTGACATCACCGGCCCAGCTCTCGGGCCAGTCCGGCCTCATCCTGTGGGGCTCCAGCCTGACGCGCCTGCCCCTAGATTTTCTCCCTAAGAGCGCCCACCTCCGCTGCTGCCCGACTGGAGCCCTCCCGATGGCTCGGTGGCAAAACCTCTCCGCGCTCCTACCCCAGACCAGGACTTGCTAGTGCTCCCCGTGCAGCTCGAGATGTCGATGTCGTGCTAGTAAGATGTCTTTCCCGCCAGCCTCCCCTCCCTCCCGCTCCCGCCACCCTGAGACAGCTCCGGAGCTGCTGCGATGAATCCCCAGCTCCGTGGCTCTGGCCAGTGTCCCTGGTAATTGAGATGTGCTCCCTGCCTGGGCTAGGGAGGGGCTGTGGCTGCCCGTAGCCACCCCTCCGGCTTGCGCTTAGCCCACCCCACTGTGCTCCCGCAGGGGTGAGGAGGAGAAAGCTGGGGATGCTGCCTCAGCCCAGCCCAGCGCCGCCTCCAGCTCTATCTCCCCCTCTCCCCTCCCTGCTTCATCTCTGGCACAAATCACATGGTGACAGCCCCATCCAACCTTTGGGGAAGGGTTTGTAAATGTGTCTTCCTTAGCTCTGATCTCCAAATTGTTCCTTTTATTGCATTTGTCATGGTGAAGATTAAAGTCCCTGGGTGGCCTGCACCGCAAATCACAGAGTCTGCTCAGGGAGCGCTGCAGGTTGGAAACCAACAGAGGGGCCTGGGCCCTGCTGCACAGACGCACTCCCAGGAGTGGTGTGGACCTGTGCTTCCAAGCTGAGCCGGAGATGCGGAGGCGCTGGCCCCTCTCTTGGCAGCTTGTGACCTCTTCCTCCAAGGGGCTCTTCCGGGAACCTTGCAGACTGACTGTGTCGTCCAGCCTGTCTCTTCCCCGAGCGAGGGCAAGCTGTGTCCATGCCAGCACTGTTACACACTGCCCCTCTCCAGCCACGCTGACTGCTGGGCCTCGTCCCAGCCGCACTCAGTGGCCCAAGGGCAGCTCAGGCCAGAGCTTGGAGCTTCCACACCGGCCCAGGAGCACAGCTGTCCTCTTCCTGCTGCTTTCCTCTCTGGGACACAACTGGGTACAGAGTAGGGCCTCCGAGATGGGAGAGACACAGCCGAGGAGCCGAGAGGACAAAAGCTCCCTGCACTCAGGCGCGAGAAGCAGTCCCTTCCTGCCCTCACAAGGTGGGCTTCCTGCCTGTCCCTCATGCACATTCATAACATTCAAATTTATGCCGTAATCTCTGCCGCTCCATATGTATGAGCCTTTGATGGGTGTTTGGGTTTATGGGATGCACCCAGCCTCTGTTCCCTCACCCGCCCACTGCCTCCAACCACTGCAAAGATGCTCGTACATAATTGACATCGGCAGATTCTTTCATTATACAAGATTTAGCATCTGCTCCGGGATCGCTCCGCTCCTCTCTCACTATAGATGACTTTTCCCCGCGTTTCCTATTATCAATTCAAATTAGCCCCATTTCCCCACCCGACCAGTGCAGCATTTACACTTGACAGTGAGGAAACAGCAAGGCTGTAATGGGCTCCTCAATTATTGAGGCCCAGTTAGACCAGGACCTAGGAGGCCTCAGCGGGCGCGTTCTGGGGTGGGGTCAAGCAGGGGCTCCAGCAGTAGCTCCTTGTTCCACTTGCCTCACACTGGGCCTCCAAAGGCTGCGCAGCCCCTCCCCAGAACTGCTTGTCAGTGGGCGACTAGCAATAAACCAAAGAGGCCAGCAATGGTCCCAGCCGGGCCTCCTCCATGCGCCAAGGTAAGTCTCCATGAGGATACGAGGGGTGCCCTCGGATCCGAGACACAACAAGATATCGAAATCAAGCTCCTGAGCCCGAGACAGCAGGAGAGCCCCAGGGGCTAGGAGGCGAGGCAGGGCCTTGGGAGAAGAGGCCACCAAGACACGGGCCTGGGCAGAGCTGGAATTAGGTCAGCCCTTGCCTACCGCTGCTCTGACTCAGCCAGGCCCAGCCTCCTGCAGTAGCTCTGGGCCAGGGGCTATTCAGGAATCTTGGGCTCTTCAGAGCCCTCTAAATGGCCGGAGTACAGAGGCAGAAACTCCAGGCTAGCCCCGCGATCCCAACCCCAGACTCTGCAGCAGCTCAGCTCCTCCCAGCCTGTGCTCCTCCTGTGACTGCGCCTCTCCTCTCTCCTCTCTCCTCCCCTCCCCCTCCCCTCTCTTCTCCCTTCTGCAGGGCTGTGCTGGGGGGGCAGGTGGGGGTGGGCTCTGGGATTAGAAGAGTCTTTCCCATGCTTGGCCTCAGCAGAATCAACGAATTCCTCCATCTGATTGGATTTACTCTAAGTCGCAGGCATGCGGGACCTTCTTTCCCTCAGCAACAGCTGGAAACAGCCCTAAATATGATTAATTAATGCCGTAAAAAGCCCCGGACACAATTAAGATTTATGTGTGTGTGTTTCTGTGTGTCTGTGTATATGTCTGTGTGATGGGGGCGGAGTGGATTACAAACCCACCCCCAGAGCCTCCAGGGGAGCAGGGGACATTTCCAAAGAGACCTCCCTGGGCACCACCCCAGGCAGGGTCACTCTTCCGCCTCTGGCTTCACAGAGGAGCCCCTTGGGCCCAGCGCCTGCTGTCCTCTGCTCTCAGATGGGGTGGCTGGCGCTCTGGGGCGGGTGCCGTCTCTTCTCCAGCGCAAGCAGAACACCTCGTTGCCAACCCCACTTCCTCTTCTGCATCGTTTCAGGGACCAGCGATGTATACAGCACCGCAACCGTCCCGGGTGGGGCTGAGAAAGGACTGGGAGCCCCGAGAGGGAGCAGCCAGGCTCTGCCCGGTCTTCCGCACCGCCTTCACTGCCACCCTTGAGACGCAGCCCCTGGACTCACCTCTGGACCTGGAGGTAAAGGGTAGACCTTTGTTTGGTGGTGGTCGCCTGCCTCCCCACCCACCTCTGTGTGGCAGGTGGTGTCCCCTCAGGTGTAGACATTCGGGCTTTAACAGTCATGAGCAGAAAGGGGCGGATGCACAGGCGATTCCAGTGAGGCACCCGAAGATCAGTTCTCAAAACTCTTCGAAAGCAGCACCTAGGAAAGCTGAGGCAGGAAGAGTGAAAATTGGAGTCCGTGTCTCAAAAAATAAAATGAAAGGACTGAGGATGTAGCACAGTGGCAGAGCACCCCTGGGCTCAATCCACAGTACCACAAGAAAACAAAACTCTTTGAAAGAGTAGGGGATTTCAATGTGTTTTCTTTTATGTATTGCACCTGCCTGACCTGTCTCTGCATTGCTGAAATGAAGCCCAGGAAGAGGTCTCCTCAGTTCCAGCCCTGGTGGCTAAACATGGAATGTGCTAGAAGAAATGTGGAGAAGCCCCCTGGGGCTTTCTGGGGTCACTGACTTGAGTGCTGGGGATTCTGCTTAGTGGCCTGGCCAACGGGGAGGAACCAGGACATTTTAGGACACCTGCCGATTCTTGGGAGAAGGTCTTCACACATCCTTAATGTAATTCTCAACCAGCCTGGGCTTGAACCTCAGAGATCACAATCCCACTTCCTGATTCCCTGCCACAGGGTGTGTGGACCCGCCAGCGACTCTTAGGGAACTGGTCGGCCTTGCCTGGAGGCAGGGAGGAGGCAGCCATGAACAGTTAGTAGCTCTTTGTGCACCCTGAGATTTTTAGGAGCTTTTGGGGGTTGCGTGAGTTCTTAACTGGTGACTGAGCAAAGGAGCTGGCGGTGGAGGATCTGGAGGAAAAGGGGAGTTCCTCTTACCCCCAAGACCTGGAGCAGCAGTAGCAGGGCCTGGCCCTTCATGCTCACTCTGTGTACTCCACACGGGGAGGGTAGAGATGGGAGGGTGTGAGCGCCACACTTGGGCGTGTGGTGAGCACAGAGCAGCCGCGAGGGCTGGGCAAGAAGGCAGGAGGTGTCCCACGGTTTCCTTAGGTCCCTGCCCCTTCAGGGGCCTGGCACTCCTGAACACAGAAGGCTCCTTGCATCTTCGTGGGTCAGCCAGAGATGTCCCTGCACCCGAAATGTCTCCCCTCTGCGTCAATTCTTAGTGATCCTGTGGCAAGGGACGGGTGTGTCAACAGAAGGACAGAAACCAGGAGCTGCCCCTAGACCAGAGCCAGCCACCTGGGTGTTTGGTCTGCTAGGGACAGTGTGGGAAACGAGCACAGAGTGGGGTGCTTGTGCTTCTGAAGTATAGCCACAAGTCCTGCCGCTCACCCCGGATGTTCCCGGGTATGTACCTGCCTGGCGCTGAGGAGGTGTAGGAGCCACGCCCCTCAACTAGAGATTTGCCCACAGGTTGGCTCCTGAGTGAATGAGCTCTTTCAGAGATGAAACCTGGCTCTCTAGGGTTGAGGGGTACAGAGCCAGGAGTGTCTGCGGCCGGGAGGAAATAAGTCCATTCTGTGGAGAGTGAGGGCTCGGGTCAGACACACGAGGCTGCACCCTGGGCTGACTCTAGAACCCCTATTTCTCACCTGTCTCTTTCACCTGAACTGAGGCAGAGACAGGAAGGGGAACAGGCACAGGGACCCTGTGTCACAATTTCCAACAGCCATGTTCAGTACATGGGCCTCTGCAGAAGGACAGAGAGGGGGCTGGGCCAGACCCCATGATGGGACAGATAGGCAGATGCCGGCAGGACAGCCATTGTGTGCCGAAAGGGTGGACGGGGCCTCCTGTGCAGTGTCACCACCGGTCTCCTCTTTCTACAAGGCAGCTTGGAAGCCATGCCGTTCTGGAAGCTTCAGAGGGTGGCTGGGAACGTGCAGGCTTGGTTTGGGGCCAAGGAGAGGCTTATTGGTAGCGCCTTCTTCACTCTTGCTATTAACTTTCCAGAACCCTTGGCCTTTTGCGGTCAGGCCTCCATGGGGGAGAACCCAACCTGGAACCAGCTCTGGCTCTGGGGTGTCCCTCGTAGGCAGTGGCTGCCAGGGTAGCAGGATCCTTCTATTTGACACCCAGGAAGCCTAGGATGGAGATAAGAAGAAAGGGTGACTGAAGGGGATATAAGAGGGTGATATTTATCAAGTTCTTATTTTGTGTCTGATAGTGGACTGAGTTTTTTCTTTTTTTCTCCCAGTGCTGGCAGTGGAAGCCAGAGCCTCACACAATGCTAGCATGTCAGTATTATTCCTCCTATTACTCAGATAAGGAGATTGAGGTTAAAAACTGGGTCAAAGCCATAAAACTATCAAGTAGTGAATCTGGGTCTTTGCACTCAGCAGCACTGCCTTCCTCAGTAAATTGATACAAAATCAGAGGCCAGCCTGGAGTGGTGGCACATACCTGTGATCCCAGCACTCTAGGAGGCTGAGGCAGGAGGATCCAAGTTGGAGCCCACCCAGCCTGGGCAATTTAGTAGGATTCTGCTCCAAAGTAAAATATAAAGAGCTAGGGAAGTAGCTCAGTGCAAAAGCCCTAGGTTCAGCTATAATCCCAGCCTGGTGGGGGCAGGCTGAGGTGAGCTCAAGGCCAGCCTGGGCTACACAGTGTGTTTGAGCCCAGTCTGAATTACATACAGAGACCTTATTTAAAAAAAAAAAAAGTCTTGGGTTCAACCCCCAGTATCACAAAACAAAAACACTGAAATACTGAGATTATTGTGTATGGTTGACAGATTTAGCAAATAAAAATACAGGATGCCCAGTTAAATTTGAACTTCAGATAAAGTAAGTTTTTTCAACAGCATAAGAATATCTCAGATGTCATGCAGGAAATACTTATACCAAGACTTCGCTTTTTTGTCTGAAATTTCAGTCTCAGCAAGTAGTCCCGTATTCTGCCCTCCAGGTTGGAGTCACAGCCAGGTCCAGCCCTGGCCACTCCCCAAAGAAGGTGTGAATGAAAAAGGCCTCAGGTTCTCAGGCTGCCTCACAGTGGGGCCGGCCAGAGGTCTGGGCTGTGGCCGTGTGTGCCAGGGGCCCAGGATCAGGACAGTGCCCCAGTCAGTATCACCTGGGCCTTGTCACCTGGTGGAGCTCCCCAAAAACCTGATGCAAGAGTCAGGGGGAAACCAAGAAATGAGAGTTGTGAACATGGTATCAAGCTCTGACCCCAGAAAAAGGAGGAGAGCCCCGACCTCCCTTGCGAGGCTGTGCGGATTCACCTGCCGTGGGACTGCACAGGTCTCGTTGCCCCTCCTGGGGGGCAGCCTGGAGGGAGGGCAACTCCTCTCTCGGTCCCAGCTCTGGCCTCCCCGACAGGCCACCTGCCCGGGTTCCTCCAGCTCGGCTGGGGCCTCCTGGCAGCTGAGCACCAGCACCGCTCAGGAGCTGCTCCCACTGGGCTCCAGAGCCCACTCCCGCCCGGCTTGGGGCTGGCTTGGGGCGTCTCCCTACTGAAGAATTATGTTGCATAAAGCAGCGCCACCATCTTGAACTGACAGTGAACTTTGCTTTCTACATATAAATACAGATAGCAATCACACCCCAATCAGCACCGAGGCTTCAGGGCATCATCTCAGCAACTCTAACTTTCCCATTACGATAATGTGATTTTCACTCAGTCTGTAATATCACCAGCCATGAATAAAGCAACTGGCTCTTTCCTTCTCTCTCCTCCCACCCCCTCTCACCCTCCTGTCTCCTTTCTCCCCTCAGTCCCTCTGTCTCTCTCCGCAACCCCTCCTGGTGACTGTCTCCATCTCTGAGTCTGCAGCCCTGGGCGCCCGCCCTTCCTCTCCGGTCTGTCTCTCCCTGGCCCTCTGGGACTCCCGTTCCCTGAGTGTGTGGCGGGGATTTGCGGTGCAGCTCTGCCATCGTCTGCCTTTGCCTGAAGGTGAGAGTCTTCCTGGCTGGGGGTGGGGACTTGCCAGCTTCCCAAGGGTGAGGACAGGAAGGGGAGGCTGGAACTGGCTCCTTGCCGCTCTGCCCTCCCATGCTAGGTTGGCTATGCAAGGGCTGCACCAGGAAGGCCCCGACAGAGAAGACACCAGGCACCCAGTGGGGGGACCCTGGAGCATGTGGGGGCGCAAACCCAGCCGGGCTGCAAGCGCTGGACGGTTGTAAGTCCCAGAGCAGTGAGGGTGCTCCGAGAGGCCTGGAGAAGCGGGCACCCACCACTCCATCACCGCCTGACGGAGGCACTGGGGCTGGAGCTGCCCCTGGCAGGATGTGGCCACAAGGCCTGCACAGCTGGATCATGGGGCGGCACCTTGTCGGGGCGCCTGGGCCGTGGACACCCCCAGGCTGTGCTCCAGTCTTTCACTTAGCACCACTCCAGACTTGTACCCTGGTTCTTTCCCTTGTTAGCTTTGGCGCCTGGGACCGTGCACTGTCCTCCTCGGTGTCCTCGTCTACAAAGTGGGCATGAGGACGGTGACTGCCTACTGAGTGAAGTAGTGCATCTGACGGGCACAGCGCAGAGCTCGGCGTGCTGTCAGGCGCCACTACCACACTGCGCCCAGCAGCTATTGAATAATGACCTGCTCTTGGGTTAGGAAGAATGCTGTGGAGGTTAAGAGCCTGGGGTTTTAGACTCACACTGTCAAGAGTTTGAATCCCGGATTCGTCGCTTGACAGCCTCGTAGCCTTGGGAAAGTCAGCCTCTTCCGGACAGGGTTTCTGCTGCTACAGCAGGGATAGTGGGCGTCCCTAGTTTCGGTCATTGAGAGGGTGGCTTAGGGTGACCTAGCCAGAGTAGGAATATTACCAACAGGAGGGGTCGGTGGGGGCCCTGCGTGTTCAGCCGTAGACACCCTGCAGACCTCCTCGGTGGGCTGCATCGCGCCCCGTCTCCTGCTGCCCTGTTCCACAGGGGCCTGACCTTCCTCCTGTGTGGGATGAGGCCTCCCTTCAACTTCCCCAGCTGTCAGAACTCACCGTGCTGGCTGCTGCCTCCCAGGGTGGGGGACCAGGACTACTGCCCAGCCCCGGCCCCGGTTCAGAGAAGGTGACTCCCGAAGCTGCTGTCTTAGGCAGGGAGTGTCCAGGACCTTCCCCCACCCAGTCGCTCTTCGACTCCCTGACCCTTTTGTTCTCCCTCTTCCTCTGTCCCCTCTCCTACTCTCTCTCTTTCTCCCTCTCCTACTTCTGAGACAGCGTCTTGCTATGCAGCCCAGGCTGGCCTCCAAGTCACAATTCTCCTGGCCCAGGCTTCTGGGTGCTGTGACCACAGGCGTGCACCACCGGGCCTGGATAGAAGGTGGTTCTTGATTGTGCTCCTTGTAGGCAGCAGGGGCGACCAATAAAAACTAGACACCCTCATTCTGTCCATTTGTTTTGCTAAGTGTTTGCTTGCTTGCTTTCAGCTCTCTCGGTTTCTCTCTGCAGGTTACTCTGGTGGATTCCAACCTGATCTCACATGAGAGAGAGGAGGCCCTGCTGCCTTAGTCAGGAGGGGGCCTTGGTGCTATGCTTTTCAGAATTCCCACCTTTGGGGCCTAGAGAGCTGTGCCACTGAGGCAGACCCAGGGAGAGACCTAGGGGCACAGCATCTGGCCAGAGGCTAACTTGGGTCTCTTCCCTCACTCTTAGCCTCTGTATCTTGGCTGCAGGAGGAAAGATGCTCCCCTTTATGTCCAGTCTAAATCCAAGCCCAGAGCCTTGAGCTAAAGCATTCTTACCCAAGTACTTTCGCTAAGGGAGCTGGAGTGGGTGAATCACTGCAGGTCTTGGGTCTTATCTCTTCTCTCTGCTCCTTTCTGCTCTCCTCCAGGAGGAGTAAGGCGTGGGCTGGGCCTTCCAGGAGACCGCAGTCCCAGTGAGGGGAAACAGCAGAGGGCAGGCAGAAGTGAGAGCAGAGTGTGATGTGACAGGGACACCAGCAAGGAGGTTGGCCCAGGGAGGGAGCAGGTGAGGCTAAGAGCAGGCGCAGGGTGGGGGCATTCAGGGCAGGGGAGAGCTGCACAGGAGCTCACGGGCAGGCTGGCAGAGTCGCTTTGGGAGCAAGGCTCATGGGCAGGAGCAGGCAGTAAAGGGCTGAGTCCAGGAGTCGGGCTTTTACCTTGAGAGCTGGGCCACGGAGGGCTTTTGAGTGGAGTGATTTGCATTTTAGAAAACTAGGTTGGGGGGCAATGCGGAGAGCCGGTGAAGGGTGCAGTGAAGAGAGTCGAGGAGGATCTTACAACCATGTGGACCAGAGATAGGGAGTATGGTTACATGCACAAGGCCAGAAGCTAGTCATCATCTGGAAGATAGGGAAACTGAGGCTCAGGGAGGCTGAGTGAACCCAGACTCACTGAGTAGCAATGGGGATTCACAGCATGCAGGAACCACAGGGTCTGTGTGGTGCCCTCATCCTGCCAGGCTGCACTAGCAGCAGCTGTGGCCTCTGTGGCTGGGCAGCTGCTGTCCTCTTCTTCCAGCCCCAGGGGCTGGTGCGGCTGGTTTCCTCCCTCCTCTGTGGGGCAGCAAAGTCTCCCATGGCGGAGGTCGAGTGGA